GGGGGCTGCTGGATGTGGGCAGGGAACTGCATGGGTGGCATGTGCACGGGCCGTTGTGGGGGCTGGTGCTGTGGCTGGGGGGGCGGCTGTGGCTGGGGGGGTGGGGGCGGTGGTTGGAGCTGCTGCTGCACAGAGGGGTGGGGTGGAGGTGGCAGGGGCGGCGGGGGTTGGGACTGCACCTTCACGGAAGGGAGTAGCGGCGTGGGGGGCTGCACCTTCTGCAGCTGCTGCAGGTAGAGCTGCATCTGCATGGAGGTGAGGGGTGGGGCAGGTGGCTCTTCGTCCTCCTGCAAGAGCACTTGGGGAGGCTGAGCCATGGGGGGCTGTGGAAGCAGGGGCGGCTGGGCTAGGGCAGGTGACACAGCTGGGGGCCGGGCCGGCTTGGGGGGCAGGGCAGCAGCTCTGTTGCTGGGCCGCGACGGCTGCTGGGGCAGTGCGTTGTGCAAAGCTGGAAGGAAAAGGACAGCACAGCAGTAAGGCCCCCAGCCCGGTCCTTCTGCTCCATCTTGACCTCCTCCTGGTCTCCCTCCACCTAGCAATCTCTCCCCGACTTCTAGACTTCCCCCCAGAACAAGGACAATTTCCAGGGAGGCTACAGGATTGGCCCATCACCAGCATCATTCTGCCCTGCGCCCCCCACCTTCAGGTCTCAGAGCAGGCCTTCCCTGAGTCCCCCAGGATGAGTGTGTGTCCACCACTGCCTGGGAGCTCCAATAGGTCACGTCTTTTCTCGTCTCTCACATGATGCCCGGCCCAGCAGCACTGAATTAGCACCTTCTTTATCAAAGTGTTAACTATGCAGAGCCAGTTCCGGGTGTCTCCTATAATTCTCCTAACAGCCCTGAGCAACTGCTGACCTCCCCTTAGAGACAGGACAGCTGAGGCTGAGAGGGGTTCACAAGTCTCCTAGAGGGCCCAGTCACAGGCGAGACCCAAGCAGCACAGACAGGGGCCTCCCCACACCTGGGCAGGTGGGGTGCAGCTCACCTGGAGGAGAAACCACCGAGTGCTGGTTGAGATGAGGCGGAGTGCTGTGCTCGGGTGGCTGGGGCAGGTGGGGAGGCAGCTCGGGCTGCGGCAGGTGCAGGATGGGCTGGGTGAAGTGACCGATAGGATCGAAGACGCTGCCTGGGAGCTGGGGCTCCAGGACGGGGACCTGGGCAGCGATGAAGGGTGGTGGCGAGGACTTCATCGTGGGGGCAGCCTGCTGCGGCATGGAGGGCGGTGGAGGTGGCGGTGGGGGCTGCTGCTGTGGAGGTGGGGGCGGCGGGGGCTGCTGAGGCACAGGGGCTGGGGCCTGTTGCATCTGTTGATGGTGGTGATGATGGTGCTGCGTACAGGCAAGCCAGTGTCAGGCAGGCCAACCCCGCCTAGGTCAGACCCAGGATCCCCCAAGGGTGCCCACAGTATCAGGCAGCCACCCCCGAAGACCACGTACCTTCTTCTGCTCCCTCCCGGGGTGCCCCTTCTTTTTTGACTTTGGAGCCATCTCTGCAGAGGAAAAGAAAAGGCCATGAGGCTCTGGGAGAGAAGACTGTGAGCTGGACTTGGAGGCAGCGAGGAGAAAACAGGGTGAGTTCAGAGAAAGGGCTAGTGATGGTGACAGGGAGCGTGGCTGGGGTCAATGCAGGATGGGTGCTGGTCAGGCGGGAGGGAGATGTGTGGGGTATCACCTACCCACTGGCCTGCTGCTTTCCTAGCAGGGACCACGCCTGCAAAGCCTCCCTGCCAACCCCCAGGCCTCCAGCTACATTTGAGTGACACCCTGGTGGCCTGAGAGCTGAGCTAGAGACCTCCCTTACCCCAAGTCTCCCGACTTGCTGGGCAGATGCCACCAGCATGACCTGAGCATCTGCTTGCTCCCCAAGCATTCAAAATGATCATGTCCACTTGCCCTGGGTCACACAGCTAAGAAGTAACAGAGCGGTGGTCTCCAATTGCACTGCCCACTGGGGCTTGCTTCCATCCTCCCAGAGAGGCGAAGCAGGTGAGGGAGACCACGGTGCCAGCCTGAACCCCAGAGCCATGGGACAGATGGGGGGACTGAAGACAAGTTAGAAGGCCACAGGCTGAGTACTCCGCGAGAGGAAGGGAAGGAAGCTGGCGGCCAGCCAGCCTTCCTCCCTGGGTTGACCAGGAGCAAGCTGGGGAGGTGCTCACTGCCATGGCCAGCAGAGGCAGCCGCCACGGGTCAGCTTCCCCTTTCTCCAGGGTATCAGCCTCAGTGCTGTCCCCAGGTCGGGACACAGTCCATGTGCTGCAGGGAGAAGGCAGTACATGCCCTGGTCGGTACCACTGTGCAGACTTGTCCTGCCTCTGCGAGACCCAAGAGTGCAAAAGCTGGCATGCCCACCTCTGCTCCCTCTCCACAGAGGTTCATGCTATGGAACTTCTGCCGGCTGTTGTTCCTTGCCAAACACTGCTGGTGGGCAAACCCCAGAGAGGGAGAGGAGGCCTGGCCAGTGCTTGTGGGCTAGGTAACAACGAAGTCACCAACCATTGGGTGAGGTGGGACGGACCAACAGTGCCCTTCTGGATTCCTGTCCCTGAGACATCTCAGGGCTTTGCCTGCCACCCTGAGCTCCTTGCCAGGTGCTGGCTCTTGCTGTTGGTGTGGAAGGACACATGCTTTGCCCAAAGTGGGGCTGCCTCTGCTCGTAGCTGCTTCCCAGAGAGCTGTGCTATGCTTCTGTGAGGCACATGGCCTCAGGGTGCAGTGTGCCACCAAAAGGGATGAGAAGGGACCTTGTGCCCTGTGAGAGATCGCCAGTCCATGCGACACAAGATAGGGGGACACACGTCAGCAGCTATAGACATGTCTTCATACAAATGACAGCAACTGGGGACCATCTGGGACATGGGAACAGTAGGTGCAGCCCAAACCTGGACCTGGAGATGCCAGAATCTGGGGCTCAGGACTCTTTGCGTCACAGTATGAAACCTGGTGAGAGGGACACTGTGGGTGGGACAAACAGAGGAAGTCTGGGGGACCTGCAGGATCAGGGCCACAGGGATGGCAGCTGTGGAGCAGGGGAGCAGCACTGGACTGAGAGGCTGGAGCCCCAAGACCAAGGGGAACCCACACGCACTAGGGGAAGCATGCTGAGTGGAGCTCCTGAGCAAAGGGAGTGGGAGGAAGGGCTGGGGTGGGGGTGTCCCTCCAGGACGGTCTCCCCTCCCAGCATGGATGCCAGTAACAGAAACTGCAGCTCAAGGGAGGCAGGGGGCAGCTACTTGCACACTGGGCATACCTTTGGGAGGCGCCTGGGGTAGAGGCAGGGATGGCAAGCCGGGCAAAGAAGGGGGCCCACAGGTAAAGTCTGACCAGGAGAAGACACGGTCATAGGCAGAAGGCTAGGCAGGGGGAGGTGGTGTGTCAGCTAGTAGTAGCCTTGGGGGAAGCACTGTTTTTTTCCACCACAAAAGAGGGATGGTGGCTGGCTGCAGGCAGTGAGCAGTGGCCCACCCGAAAACTCCTGGGGACAAAGTGCAACGGGGCTTGGTGGTTCTTGGAATGGGTCATCAGTTGCTATGGAAAAGACACTGGGAGTATCTCAAGGCTCCAAGGAAGTGCTGGGTGGGACAGCTGACCAAGCGGTGTCGGAGCCTGCTGGCGACAGCCCCATCTGGCCCACACAGCCCGAGGCTCCTGCCGGAGTTACTGGTAGAAGACAACATGTGAAGTGCACAGTTTCACGGCACACCAGCCCCACAATAGCCCCACACAAAACTCTCTAGAAAGGGTTACATGAAGATGGCCTCAAGTACTGTGTGATCTTTATTCCATGAAAATCTTGAACTCAACACAAATTTCATCTTTACATAGGATGGTAATTGTACAAAGAATTAAAACGTTTTTGTAAAATCTGATTAAAACACTGCTTCCTCCAGCTCCCCACCCCCACCTCAAGGGAAAAAGATAGAATAGAGGGTAAGGGCAGGGCAGAGGCGTGGAGCCCCTCAACTGAACCGATGGGGGAGCCTCAGCAGCAGTGGCTGCCGGCCTTCTGTCCCCTCACTAACTCCTCATGCCCCTCAACCCAGCTGGTGTCGAGGCCTGGCTGGCACCACCCCTGCCCGCATACAGGAGGCGACCAATAAGGAGTTATGGGGACACTGCTCTCTGCTCTGTTCATGGAGCACTGGGCACAGGTGACAGCTCAAGTCTAAAGATCAAGTTCTCTGCCAGATGGATGCCCCACAGGCAAGAAGGGTGGGAACCCGGACAGTGAGAGTCCAAGGACACTTCAGGAGAGTTGGCCTGCAGCACAGCCTGGGTGTACGCGTGTGGGAAGTGATGGGTCGGCACATGGGCCAACACTCTGGGAAGCCAGGCTGCCATTTGTTCCAAGACAGCAGCAGAATCTTCCCAGAAAGACAATGCCAGCCAGCAGCTTCCCAAATGTCCTGTGGGAATCTCTGGGCATGAAGCCCCCCGGCACCAGCCAGGCCAAGTTGTGCTGGGAACACGTCAGGCACAGGCCAAACGGCAGCTCAAAACAGTCTGTCTAGCAAACGGAGCTCGACTGGGGGCCCACCAGCCAGGATCAGGCCGCAGCCTAGGAACTCCCAAGCACCACTGCAGGGCCCTGGAGGCGGCTCTGGGGAGACAGGCGCTAGAACCCAAGGCAAGGCGGGTGTGGGGCAGTTAGAGCTGCTCAGGCCCAGATCCCAGGGAGCTCGTGGAGGGGTGTGGGGCTTCCACACAGACAGCGGCCAATGCCCAAGGGCCTGCTGAGAGTAAGCTGCACCTCCTCAAATCTGCTTCTGGCTCCACAAGGCAGGCTCCAAGAAGCCAGGAGTTGGCTAGGCCTTCGAGAAGTACACACAAAGTACACTTAAAAAAAACCCAAAAAAAAAAAAGACAAAAACAAACAAAAAAACATGCTCCCTGAAACACAGATGCTGTTCCTCAGGGAACTTTCCACATCAGGCAGTTTTCGGCTGAGATGCTGGATTCATGACCAAAAAAGGGCCGATATTTATTTTGAGAGTTAAAAAAGCCTATTCAGTGCCTCTCTGAGGGCTCGTGTGATGCAGCCATCCTGGTCTGCCCCACTCCCAGTGGCTGTCGTCATTCTAGGGGACTGAAGACTAAGAGGGTGCCCAAGCTGGCAACACCCCACAGGCACCGCAGAGCAGGCTGACCCCACAGGGCAGGGATGGTGGGCCCGGGGGGCCAGGTCGGCTGGCTGCACGGCTGCTCCTCCCCTCCGCCCTGCTCCTTACCAGTAGCCTGCCTGAAAGCTCTTACCCACTGCAGCCTGTTTCTCATTACCTGGTGGGGGTGGAGGGGTGGGGAGATGACTGGGAGACAGCCTAAGAGGTACTTGTACTTTTCCCTGTGTGACTTTAGGAGAAGCAGCTAAAGAAGTTGGGAAATGCCTAACAGGCAATGATGGAACAATTAAAATGGAAGAATTCCAGGGGACTAGGAGTTAAATGTGGCTGGTGAGAGCCTCTGGCTAATGAAGCCTGTAGCCACCAGAGAAGGGTGTGCTGAGGGACTGCCCCACTGAGCCTTTGGGACCAGCTGGCCTTGTCCCAAGAAAGCCTCTTCCTAAGCTGAATGAGATCTTCCCTGGGCTAAGGTCACTGCAAGGGCCAGGAGGGAAGCAGTTAGGATCCATTTGTCCCAGAAAAGAGGGAGCGATGGAGAGAGAAAACATATGTGTGATGGGGCCTTGCACACGGAGCAGCACCACATGTATGCGGGTGCAGGGGGGACTGTCATCACCCTCCGGCAGATGCCGCCCACCTGGAGGACCCCGGATGCCCAAGGAGGCTGGGTGGGACAGCCAGGAAGTCTTTACACAGGAGGCCCGGGCAGCTGGCCAGGCAGGCAAGCCTTCCCAGAGGCGGGACTAGGCGTGTGCCGCTGGACATGACTAATCCACCCCAGGACAGGCCCAGGGCTCTGAGGAATTCCATGACTCGATGGAGTCCTGTCCCTTTCACAGAAGAAAATGGACTTAAGCTATAGCTTGCTGGTAAGGAATCTGGAACTGAAGACCGTTTTATTAAGAGTCCGTGTCCAATGATTAGGCAGGACCTACATAGAGGGAGAGAGAAACCAGTGTGAGAGAAATGGTGTGGAATGCACCACTCAAGTCACAAGAACAGAAGAAACGCAGGTCAAGCCAGCCTCCTGTGCCCTGCTGGCTGACAAGACAACAGAGCACAGTGAGGGAGACTAGGAGCCCCGCCCCTGCCTGGCTAGTCATGGCAGGGACAGACCCACCTTCCCCTAAGAAGGGCCACAGGTCCAGCACGTGTGGGTGGCTCCAAAACTGCCCCAGCTTGTCTGTGCTTCTGGACAGAACTGCTTCCAGTAACAAGTTCCATGGGTGCCCTGAGCACTCGCTGGCATCTCTCCAGCAGGGAGGTCTGTGAATCTGGGAGGTACACAGTGCCCTGGGTCTGTCCTCCTCAAGATCACACCTGAAGATCAGTCCATGTGCGACACCCATCAGGCACTGGCTCTGAACCGACGCCCCTGGGCCCTCCTGTACCTTGTCTATCTCAGCGTAGTGATGCTGGCCCATCCCCAGGGCTTGGCAGAGGTTAAGAAAAGCCCCCATGAAAGGAGGTTCTTGAGTGTAGGCCCTCTGGCTAACAGCCTTATCTGTGCACTCCTATGAACCCCAAGAAATAAAAAGTCAATTAAAAAAGAGAAACCCGTTTTATACACTCTCTGAGGAGGAGGAAAAAAGGAATAAAAAAATGGGTCAAGGAGAAAAGTTGTCCCTTTTTTCCTGTGGCATGGAACACAGTCCCCCTTGACTGGGGAGGGCGTGAGGCTCATCCCCACCCGCACAGCAGAGCAGATGGCTCTACGAGAGTCACAGGCACAACCACCACTGCACTCCCACGGCCCCCAAGTGTGCACATGGGAAAACCCCGCCCACTGGCTGGCCCATCATTCCGGGCACATTCCACAAGGCTGGCCCTTGCCCGTGAAGCTCCAGAAGCCCTCCAGCTGTGAGCCGTGTGTGAGGGTGTGCAAGGGGTCACCTGGAAGGCAGGCAGGCAGGCAGAACCGGCCGCAGTGCCCTCCTCCTGTCTTGAGAGCAAGCGCCACACCCCTGAAGAGGGCAGCAGCAGGCCTCCAGATGGGACTGGGACCAAGTCCTTCAAAGACCCTGGGGGTCGGAAGCTGAGGCTGGTTGTCTGGGAAGAATGCTCCGTGGCCTCTGTCTGCACTTTCCAGCTCAAATCTTTCCAAAATATCAAGCATTCCTTTTTCCCCTGGAGCTATTAAGAAACACCCACATGCTCTAATCCTGGGAAAAGGAAACCAGGAGACTAAAATAACTGGAGTGTGTTCCCACTGCAACAAGCAGATCAGGCCAAGTTCAAGAGAATTGCCCCACACCACCTACCAGGTAGCTGGGGGCAGGGGATCCTCCTGAAAGACACACACAGTGTCCACCCCTGCCCAGAAAAGACCTGTGGATGGCATATGTTAAGAGCCAGACATCAGCAAAATGATGGGGTGCAAGCTGAACTTAAGAGTTCTAGGATACCCCCCAGGAGCCAGGCTGATGTGATCCCAGCTCTGCCTAAAGCCTATCAGGACAGCAGTGGAAGTGGGGAATCAGGGCACCCACCTCCAGCCTGCCCAGCTGGGGTCTACAGAGGCCTTGGTATGGTGGCAGGGTGGCACTTGTACCCCGCCCACCCTGCCCTCCCAATACTTAACCCTCAAGCAGATCCAGACTCTAGCCAGAATCGAAGCTCAACAGAAGACCACAACCCAAGTAATAGCTGGGTTCAGAGAATGTGGTGAGACAGACCACAACCCAAGTGCTGCCGAGTGGGGGAAACGTGGAGCCCTGGGACCAGCTGGGGGAGACACATCCCCGCCACCCCCACATATATGGCATACTACCTCCCTGAACTGCAGCTGGATCCCAAGAATTAGCCCTGTACCCCAGGCAGGCGGCAGAATCCCACCCTGTGGACAACAGCCAGGAAGGGTCAATGTGCCACCTCAAAGCCCAAATTTAGTGCCTCTGTTCCATTTCTTTTGGTGATACATGTCTTGGAGCCATGTCAGCAGAACTGACCCTTAGTACAAGTAACAAAAATAGGCCCTTTCAGGAATTTCGGCTCCAGTCCAAATGGAAACATAAGAACAAGGATGGCAAAACAAGCCCCAAAAGACCAAGGGAAATACCTTCAATGCCCCCGATCCTGCCCATCCCCTCAAGAAAGAACCTTGGTAAGTGGTCACAGAACTTGGGCTGCTCGGCTCCAAGGGCCCAATGTGAACAGCTGCTGGAGTTGCTGCTGTAGAGGGAGTGCAGTTTCCGGTGCAGCAGAGATGGTGGACGGCCAGGGCCGGAAGTGCAGGCGCCTGCTTTGGGGCCCCCAGAGTCTGAGCCAAATGGCCAACCCACAGGGTGCATCCCTCCCGAGAGCAGCACCACCCAGCCGGCTCAAGACAGAGCTTTCCAGCGCAGGTGGACGGCAAGGGAAAAACCAGGAGCAGAAGACAAAAGGCAGCCTCGGAAAACCCAAGGTGGGGAGGGTGCGCCTGGGGAGAGGATGACCTGGAAGCAGCCTCGCCAACCGCCAGGGCCAGCTCACTGGAGCCTGGGATCCTGCAGGCGGGTGGCTGAGACTGTAAATCTTGCCCTCCTTCTCACCAGGACAGCTGTTCCCAGGACTCTCAGATTACTTGTTGCACAATCTTTCCACTTTCTTTAAAAGGATGGAAAATGTGAAAGAAATAAAAAAAAATCTCGGTGGCAGCAGAGTACTGCTGGAAATGCCATCACGGCTGCCCTACAGCAGAGGCAGTGGGTGGGGTGTAGGGGCATTTCTACCTAAAGCAAGTACACCGGGAAGTGGGGCCTGAGCACCAGGGACGCAGGCCATGGTCAAAATACTTGCAATCAATCAAGATATCGGGACTAGACACTCACAGCCTCCTGAAGTACCACACAAGGGCCAAGAAGAGCTGCTTTAACTATCAGATCCCCTCCAATTCCAGCCTTTGGAGTTTTCTTTTGGTCACTCAGCTCCTTAGGAGAAAAGGCTGCTTAGGAGAAACCGTTAGTAAGTGCAGCCTGCTAGAAAACACAGGAGGTGCAAAACCCCACAGCAGAGGCAACTCTGGGGCATGGCAGCCACAAAGAATGCTAATTGGGCCCAAGAATGCAGCTATTCACCCATCTGAGGGCAGTGGGCCCTGGCCAGAGGAGTCGGCCCTTTCCAGGTTGGCAAGGGGCTCAGCGCCCCCTGCTGGTTGAAATAAAAAAAAGCAATGGGGGGAGGGTCCCGAGAAGAGAAGGTGAAGGATGGACAGAGGTGGCCAGCCAACTATCTAGTCTCTGCACATGATGCAGCTTAATAAATACAGAACGTGGCCTAGTAAACTTCATGCCATCTGGGCCCATTGGAAACGAGGTGGTCCAGAGCATTTGGAGTCCTGGAGAAGCCCTAAGCCCGCCCCAAGGCAAGTCCCCCACTCACTTGGGAAGCCTGGTGCCCTTAACTACAAAACAGAAGAGGAACAGTGACAAGGCCAGAGGCTCCCTTGTCCCTTGACTTGCCTGGGCAGAAACGGCCTGAGCCCTCAGGAGGGCCTGTGTGCACGTGCCTTGGAAGCACCACTCCTCCCAGCTGCTCTGATTCTCACATTTCCTTGTCACCATCAGGTCACTTTATTTATGTGAACTGATAATGTGGGGCTTATCTTTGTTTCCACATACAATAAAGTACAGGAGACGGGATAAGTCCATGGAAGAATGTGTCAGGCATCTGTTGTCTCCCACCATTGACTCGCACACCATGGCCTGCTTCAAGGGGTATGCTGGAGGCCTGAGGGCCAGCTCTCCAGGGGTCTGCAGCCTCTCTGCTCAGTGCATGGGGGCAACCCCACCACCCAGACAGATGGGCAGCTCCGCCTTGCAGCATGGGCTGGGTTCCCGGCTTCTTCCCTAGCCCAGCTTGAATTTGATCTCTGGCCCAGCTTGAGCAGCTACTCCCTTAAAAATCATCAGGAAAGCACACAGCTGGGAGAGAGACCCCCCTCCCCACCACCCAGCTGGCCCTTGGCATCTCCACTTGCCGCCATAACCCGAGTCCAAGTGGATGCTCAGGCAGGCGGTGGGCTCTGTCGGGGCCCCCAGGGGTGCATGTGCAGGGCCACGGGGCATGGAGAAGTGCCGTTAGGGTGCAGAACATTCATATCCAAGTGCATGTGCGGTTAGGAGCACCCCATAGAGCAGTGAGCACACTTGGAGGGTGGTGGTGCCGAGCCAGGAACAGCAGGGTGTGAGCAGGGTACCCCATGTTTGCCGAGCACATCACCTGGAATGGCCACACTACATGTGACTGTGATGTAGGAAGGCTGTGGACTGGGCAGGGTTAAGGTTGATGCCACCACCTAGACGTGACAGCCAAAGCCCTCACTAGGCCCCCCACCTTACAGGGCTCTGCAGTGTCCACACCCTCAGCCATGCGTCCGTAGGGTGCAAAGCTACCCACTGCCCCAGGAAGAAGGCGGAAACAGTGGCCAGGCAGACAGACAGGTGGGAAGGCCTGCCAGTTCTTAGGACCACATATCCAATCTCTAGCAGCCCGGACACAGGACAGAGCAGTGCCGAGAGCACAGGCAGGGGTGCGACAAGACGCTAAGGAAACATCTAACCTGTTTCAGAGTCTTCACTGTCAGAGGAGCTGGATTCACTGGTGCTCTCAGACTCAGAGGAGGAGAAGCCCTTCATCTTGGAGGAGCCAGCGACCACATCTACTTTCTCGGCTGCAATAAAACAACAGTGATTGTGTCAGGCTGGGGCCCCAACCTTGGGGCCCAGCCACAGGCACACTCTGCTTCCCGCAGGAAGGGCTAGTGGGGCTGCTCCTACTGGCCAGCTGCAACCTTCCCAGGCCCCGACCAGTTCCACACTTCCCAGAAATAAGCTGCTAGCCTACTGCATGTCAGCCACAAGCCTGGCTTATGCTGGAATTTCCAGACCCCTCCAATTTCTCAGAACACCCTCTGTAGGGCTCATCGAGGATTAAGAGACATAGGAAGAGGGAATTCCCAACATGAGAAACTTCTGGACTTGGCTCCCTTAGTTACTTGTTTGGCAGCAGGGGAAGAGGACCCTAAAGGGACGTGATAGAGACAAAGCAAGACAAGGAAAGAGCCCCAAGGTCACCCAGCACCTCAGAGTACAGACCAAGGGTGAGTGCCCCAGGACGCCAGCAGTCCGTTTGGGCTGAGACAAAGGCTGTGTGCAATGTTCTGACATGGATCCCATGACCTCCTGGTCCTAAGACAAGCTGTGAGCCAAGACAAGGCACATAGAACAGAAAAGAGCTGTGACTGCAGAGTGGACATACAGAGCTGGACAAGAGCAGCCAGCAGGTACCACCCTGATGGCCTTCCTCCTGCCACACCTCCCCAGGGCTCCGAGAGGCAGTGGGGTGGCTTTTGGGGAAGGAAGACTCAGAGGCAGGCAGCTGAGGATGAAAGGTGCGTGAAGCTCAGCACAAGGCTTTAGGACACTGGGGTGCAGGTGAGCCTCACATGGCCACCAGCCCGCCAGAGGTGGAAAAAGGCACTGATAGGCGCGAGTTGAGTGTGATGTCACAATTCTCCAGAGGTTTTTATGTTGAGGACACAGATTTTATGATTGGGAGAAAAGCCTGCAGAGGGGAGAGGGCAAAGCCAGAAAGGCAAGGCTAACTGAGCGTGCCCACAGGTGCCTTCCAGCAAGAGTGAGAGGCGGCGGCAGCCCGGTTCACTTGCCACTGGCCACCCCCATCCCCCAGCCTGCTCCCAGGGGCCAACAGCACCTTGAGGTTTCCTTTTCTTCCGCAAACAGGAGGTGACATAGCGCTCCAGCTCCCGTAGGGTGGATGGCTTCAGGGTCTCGAAGTCGATCTCTATTTCGTCGGGGTTGGAGTTCTTGAGTGAGGGCTCCCGAGACTGGATGATGTGTACCACGCGGCCTAGCTTCTCGCCGGGGAGCTTGTTGATATCCAGGCTGAGCTGCCGCTTCTCCTCATACGACATGGGCTTGCACTTGTCTTCCTCCTCTGACTCATACGCAGGAGGGGGCTTGCTCTTTGTGGGCGCCGGCTCCTTCTTGCTACGAAGGGACGATACAGACCCTGTCAGGAATGGGTCCACTGGGGAAGGTAGCCACCCATTCTTTTTGGGGCAGACCCCACCCCCACCCAGCTGGCCTTCACAGGAGATGTGAGTAGGGTGACGCTGGCCAGGAGTACCCAGTGGAGACTCACTACGAACCACACCCAGGGGCTGCTTGGGTCCAGGGCACTGCTCTGGCCTGCCCCTGCTGCCAGCCCCACGTGACGTGCTATCCTCCCTCACTTCACCAAACACGGTGGGCAACACGGGCTCATCCCAGAGAGGAGGAAAGAGAGACTGTCCCTCCCCCAACCCCCCCGGTGCTAACTTAGGGGCACAGACCTCACGTTGCTGTTACTGCTGGTATTTTTCTTGGTCTTTTTGGGAGGAAGTTCCTTGGCTTTGCTTTTCTTATTCTCCTCTACTTCCTCTTTCTTTTTGTGCTTTTCTTTCTTCTTTTCCTTCTTATCTTTCTCCTTTTTCTTTGGTTTGTTCTGCTGGGGCTGCGAGAGGGCTGCAAGCTGCTCATGCACGGCTTTGAGCTATGGAGCAGACAGGCAAGGCAAGGCACACCGCCTGTCACCGAGGGGCCCCCAGGCGCCAGGGCACGGGGACAGGGAGCAGGCTAGCCCTCAGCTCCATGATCTGCGTGCTGCCCCACCAGGTTTCCTAAGTGCCCATACCACCCAGGCCCTGAGCTCCAAGAGTGGCCAGTGTCCTCCTCGCCAGAAGGGCTGCTCAGGCTGACAAACACTGAGCCCGTGCTCTCCTGGCTCCAGGAAGGGAGTCCTTAGGTGGCTGGGCAGGTGTGCACAGACCCATGTGGGCACTGATGGCCTGATGGCTTGGCTTGTAGGAAGGAGAGCAACCATGAGGCCCCAGGAGAGACTGACATCTGGCCTGGTCTCCTTCCTGACATTGGAAGGATCCAGAAGCCCCACCTCTGCCCCAGAGAGCAGTCATGTGCATGTACATACCTCACCCACGGTGAACGTTATATATGTGCACAAAGCACGTGCCCTAGCCTGAGGAGACCACTGGGAATCCACTCCTGCTGAACGCAGAGCTGAGGCTACTGAATGGAGACCTCTGGACAGACTGCCCTGGTCCATGGATGTCGGCAGGGATGGTGGGGGGGAGCCGCCTGCGTCCTCACCTGCTCCTGGAGCTCGGCCAGCCGCTGGGCTCGCTCCTCCTCAGAGTCGTCAGTGGAACTGTCACTATCTGAGGAGCTATCACTGCTGCTGTCGCTAGATGAGGGTGGGGCCACAACCTTGGTTGGGGGTGGCACCGCCGGGGAGGAAACGGCCACCACAGGCTCCTCGGGCTCATCTGGCATCTTGGCAAAGCGCATCTCGAACACATCCTGGGTTGGGGGGAAAAGCCGTGCCCATGAGGGCTGCGGGGTGCCCAGTGTGTGGGCAGGGAACACCTGATATCATCACAGCCTCCCTGGCTGCTGGGGCTGACTGCACAGGAAGCTAGTGTGAGGGTCAAGGAGGGCTAGGGCTGGACTGCCAGTGCGCCCCTCCTACCACTAAAGCAAGGTGCTGGCCAGGGCCCCCCCAACGGCTCTTCCAATATTCCTCTGAAATCTCCCTTTGAGATGTGATCTGTCACCCACTCTCTGGGAGACAACCCAGGTAAAGCACTCATGACCCAGCTCATAGGTGGCAGCTGGCCCACTGAGGGCATTGATCTGGGATTCTTGATAGATGGCGGCCAGGGGACAGAACCCACACACAGAGCGCCGAGGCTCCCAAAAGCTTTGTGCTCATGAGGCCAGCGCATCTGAGGGGCCCTTCTGGATGTCATGGCAGGACACCGAGACATAACGGTGAACAAAAAGGGACACTCTGCCCCACTGTGGCTCACATTCCTGCAGGGAGCAGATGGCATCTGCAGTTGTAGAGAACTTTCCAGGCAGAGGGAACAGCATGGGCAAAGGCCCTGTGATGGGAGCATGTGCAGCAAAGCCCATGGCTGGTGAAGGGGCTGAGCCCCCACCACAATGGGCACATCTACATCCGCTTTCCTGCTCAAGACTACCTCTGCGACGTGAGTGAGCAGGGCCATGCCCCTCAGCAGAGTGGCTAAGGCGTCTCCTGGGAATGCCAGGCAAGTTGAGAAAGGTATAAGAGAGCACATGTGGGGGTGCTGAGGACAGGCCCTCACAGAGGGAGGGTGTCAGCGATTAAAGCAGAGGCCAGAGCCACTAAGCATGGGATCCTACCCCAGAAGACTCCAAGCCCTTCCAACTACAACATCCAGGTATCTGAAGGAACTGCAGGGGTCATGGAGCTCAGAGAACAGCAGCCCTGCCTGGGCCCCTGGCGGGCCAGCCAAGTGTTGCCTTATCAGCCCACTGGCAGGTCCCTTCCTACCCTGAGGGCTCAAAGATCACAAATCCAGTGACAACTGAGGACAGAGGACAGCAGAAGGAACAGAGGTGGCTTTCCAGTACAATTCTGAGACCTGCTAAGACCTGAAATAAGTCAGTCAACGTGGCATCTCACATAAGGGAAAAGGCTTTCCCCAAGTGGGAGTCAGTGCTCTAAAGAAGACAGTAGCCCACAAGGCCCAGGAGCTCTAAGGCTGCTGTTCAAACTGGAGTGCATTTGACAGAGGCCCCCTAGCAGGCCTTACTGATGTCTCTGGAAAAACAGCTTCAGGTTTCCCCCTGAACAGCAGGGCACGTGTCCCACACAACTGCGGTGCGGGGCCCTCCCCTCCAGACCATCTTAAGAGGCAGGTTCTCTTCCCAGCAAGCGTCTACATCTTGGGCAAGAGAAACAAAATAAAAAATGAACAAGTGGCAGTACATCAAAGTAAAAAGCTTTATCCAGTAAGAGGTTAACATCCAAAATATATAAAGAGCTCATATACAACACCAAAAAAAACATAACCCAATGGGTAGAGGATCTGAACAGATGTTTCTCCAAAGAAAAAAACTGATGGCCAACATGAAAAGATGCTCCATACCGCTAATCATAAGGGAAATGCAAATCAAAACCACAATGAGATACCACCTCATACCAGTTAGAACAGCCACTATCCACAAGACAAGGAACAACAAATGCTGGTGAGGGTGCAGAGAAATAGGAACCCTCCTACACTACTAGCGGCAATGAGAACTGGTGCAACTGCTTGCTGTGGAAAGCAATATGGCGGTTTCTCAAAAAACTAAATAGAAATACCATTTGACCCAGTAATTCCACTCTTAGGAACTTATCTGAAGAAACAAAATTCCTGATTTGAAAAGATATGTACACCCCTATGTTTATTGCTGAACTGTTTACAACAGCCAAGTTATGGGAGCAACCTAAGGGTCCATCAGCCATAAAAAGAAAAGAACTACTGCCATTTGCAACAACATGGATAGACCTAGAGATTATTATGCTCAGTGAAATAAGTCAGGTGGGTAAATAAATACCATATGATTTCACTTATTTGTGGAATATAAAAAGAAAACAAAACAGAAGTAATGAAACTTTAACCTCAGACACTGAGAAGTGACTCTAGTGGTTATGAAGAGAGAAGGG